CACTGTTTGCGTGTTCTGCAACCGTGCGGCCCACTAAACGAAAGTAATAAGTAATAACCACTACGGAATCAATGCCTGTAAAGGCGGGCCGCACACATTTTTCGCCTTTGTCTGAGGACACTACTTCGAATAGGTATACTGACTATAATAGAATTGGTATTTTTACTAGGCGTTGAAAATACGAAATCCACGAAATGGAAATAATAATTCCACATAATATTATGTAGGTATACCACGTATAATCATTGTTCATTATAATGTATGATTGTAATATTAAATTAGGTATTATGTCTAATACATGCGTAGTATGTCAGTATACCTATTATAATATGACGTATTCATTGTATTGTTTTTTTTTCACTCGCAAGGCCAATCACAGTACCTAATGTAAAAAATATTAATAAACTTTTTTTAATGGCCGTTTAATGGTTTTTTTTTACCACTAGTATGTAGTTTATCTATATGAAATACACGCACTGTTTTTATATATCTACACAATTATTATTTTATATGGCAACTTTTAATGTCTATGGACAATCTGATAACAATTATATAATATCAATTTATGTATGAAGGTATCTATTAATTTTTGTTGAGTATTCTTGTCACATTTACGTTGCACAGTTAATAGAGAATTCATTGAAATATCTTTTCGATTTTCACCTCTGCCATATCATAATAATATCATATCGATTGGTACCATAAATCGATTTTTCAATGTCGAATCGTTGTAAGAAAAATAACGATTCAAATTCTTCGTATTACTATTTCAATCTATAGTATTATTAATTGATTATTTTTCTACTGGTCACAAACCCCAAATGTTGTATTTCGTAAGTCGCATGACAGGAAGTTAAGCATAATAATATAAAACATAACATAAACCTAACCGTTTGGGTTAGTATTAGTATTTCACTTTTTTTTTTATGATCCAATTTTTATGACATCCAAAGTACGTATGTTTATAATTTATTACATGATGTTATACCACTTATTTATATATATATGTCAGGGGTCTCGAACCTTGAGTTACCGAGATCATTGCGTATCGTATCATATTTACAAGAAAAAGTATAAAGTATTAGTTTAAGATAGTTTTTTTTTAGACGTCTGAAAGAAAAAAATCCATAACAAAAATGTAAAAGTAATAATTTTTACTATAATATTTTTATTATAAATAATTAAGATTCTGTTTTTGACAAAAGTATTTCTTGTCATCTTTGTTAAATTGTTCGTTGTACGAACTATTTTAATTTTGTATATAACACTCAATTAAAATTCTTATCAGAAGATTTATTACATGTTGTAAATATTGTATAGTATCTATTTACTCTCAACCAATAAGAAATAAAGTTTGTGAAAAATGTAAAAATAATTGGTTTGTCCAAAGGGATTTTCCAAAGTCCTACCGTAATTGACAAAAATCCTTACAGAATTAAAAACTCTGCTACTAGTATTTATTAATGTTTATTAAAGTGTCTAAGTAATTGGTTGATTGACAATTGTAATATTCATCCAATTAAGCAACATATAGTGTATTGAATCTGAAACATATATCTAAGCTTTTATTGTCGGTAATAAACCTAGGAATAAGAAAATCCACACTTTTCAGAAAATTTAAAACAATTAAAAGCATTATAAAGTTGTACAAATATATAAAAATAGTTTAATAGAATATTTAAATGTTAATATAATGCGTTATAGAACTTAGCTTAGTTCTAAAAATAATAATATTAAAATTTAATACAAAGCAAACATTGTTGGTATTATAATTACACCTTTATTATATACCTACTGTACTTACCTATACGGCTATACATCATATAGGTACCATGTAAATTTCAATTCATTTAGTTTTTTAAATAGGTATGTGCTATAACAATACATACTTTTGGTAAACACTTAGCCATTAAATATTAATTAATTAAAATGAAAAAATAAAGTTTCAATTTTATTTTAGTTTTTTTTTTAAATTAAATTAAATAATATAATTCAATTATTGATCACGATTTTGAATTTTACATTCACGATTATAACCATTTACAATACATCGTTCAAAAAATGTGTGTTGATATCAGAATAAAATTAATAATCATAATAAAAATATTATTCGGTATAAGACTTATTATAAAGGTGGATAATTATACGAAATCTATAATTTATTTTATGAATCAAGTAGGCATGTACAATTTTCATTTATTTATCGGTTAACTAATTGCTATTGATAATTGGCAAATAATGGAAAACATTATTATAATAATATTATAACGTGCCGGTATAAAACCTCTAATTTAAATTTTAAGCGTGGCTACGTTCCTATTTAACTTCATAATTTGAAGTTTGTCACCTTATAATGTTATGAATATATTATAATAGGTATAGAAATAGTAATAATAATACACTCACTGCAATGAAAAGTAGATGATTTCCTAAGGTTTCAATTTTCTTATAAGACTCATTAGACACTGAACTTATTTCTACATCAATCACTATTCACTAAATCACTATATTATAATATTATTAATGAATATTCAATGTCGCATAAATTATTTTTGATATGAATGGTGCTTCGTATGAATCTGCATATTGTGTACAACACGGTACATTAGAGGTAAGATATAAATGCCCAATTAAAGGTGTTCAACAACATAAATATATTATGACTTTGAAAACAAAATATGTTTTATAATTTTATGGAATTAATTTTACAATTTTATCATTAAATTAGTGTTAGCTGATGATTTGGATGTTGACAGTTCGCTGAAGTAATACCTGCATTTTCTGATCAGTTAATGAAGAGTCTCTTGAAGAGACTACGAATTTAATTACCATACAAAGGTCAAAGAGTATTACATTAATTAAAAATAATGATATAATGTAATATAAATAAAATAAATAAACACAATCTATATAAATATATATTTTGTTAGGAGAAATACAGAAAAGTTCTAATGAGAGTGATTTTAAACCTGACATGTTTCGTGCCCATTAAATCCAAAATATCAGAAAAGATAAAACTTAAATATTGTTTTAGACATGTGAAGCTACCATAACTTTATAAATATTACAATAAAAAAATACAATTTCATATTATTCTCTGATTACCATCAAATAGAATATTATTGCCCGAATAAACAACCATAACGTGTAATTTATATAATTATATATTTATTAAAGTGAATTGTGTTAGGTACCTATTCAGAATTGTTTTTGAAAGTCACAAAAGTTATTTTATAATATTATAATACAATATAGGGATAAATTTAACATTACAGATTATATCTAATTATATATTTTCGTTTGAAATATCGGAAAATGTATATTATTATGCATGTCTTACGCAGTGAACAAATTAATATTTGCTGTGAAACTGTTTCTACCAGAAATCTACGTATTAATAAATTTAACATACACAATAATTATAAGTTAAATGAATAATGAACAAAGTAAAATTCTTTTCGGTAATCCATAATTCTAGATAAGTAATATTATAATATATTACATTATATCGTATATTTTATAATAATAAATTATAATGTATTGCAGATATTGTAGGTAGGTAGTTACATTGTTAAAGTACAATAAGATCAATATTCAGTTCATGATTATTATTCAGTGTAGGTACCTAAATATTATGTAGATAGTTACGTATAATTCACACTTCTATATTATGATATTATGATATGTTAATATACAATCGATTTAAACCATTAAATGCTGGTCCAATACTTCGCCACAATATTAGTAGGTAAACAACTGTAAAGTGTGTACAATATTATATTATAACATTTTATTTATATAGGTAACTTTTACAAATAATTGTATTCAAGCAGTAAAGGTTTATCTAATATAATAGCAATCTATGTCCCTATTATAATATTATTGGTATTTCAATAGTATAAGCAGGGGTAAAATGATTATTCTGGACAGTAGGTATACATATTAATATATTATAACATAATGTAATATATTTATTTTAATAATTCACACCAGTAAGTACATGAACAAATTTATAATACATAATACTGTGTATACAGGGTGACACATAGAACATGCTACCCACGTTTTCCTTCAATAATAACACTTTTAAAATTTCAATTTTTGAAACTTTTAAATATACTCAAGGACCATATTTTAAAGTACTTAGATTTTTGGAGCTTCTTGTGGCGAAACCAACTTTTTTTCCAAACGACAATCATCCCATTTTCCCGTAAGTTGTTATCATATAACTTTTTTCGACAAAATATAAAATAATAACTCCGACACTATGCATTCAAATTTTGATATACCTAGATGCATCAATATTTAAAAAAAAAAACATGAATAATTCAAAAACCAACGTTTTCCATCTTATTTGAAAGTAGATGTTTGTATAGCCACAGGATACTCCATAAACGAAATATAAACGAAATAAAGATTTAAATAATTGAAAACATTATGGTTCCTAGTTACAATTTTAATATTCATAATTTGATTAAACCCATTATTAAAGAAAAATACGGGTGTTCACTCAGCATATTTATTATTAATATACAAAAAGGAAAAAACTTTCCAACAGTGTTAAACACATTATTATTCGTTTCTATTATTTACAGAAGTATTGTACAGTATTATATACTTTTGTTATTACATATTACGTAAAACCATGTTGCTGCATCGTGATAATAATAAATAATGGTATTATAAATTATAATATGACGTATAGTCGGGCATAGGAGTATTCGCTCTTGCAAATAATTACAAGTACAAACACGGTGACATCATTATTATAATATTAGTAAACCCAATATTTTATTATTATTATTATTATTATTATTATTATTATTGTCGTATGCATAATAATATGGTCGTATGACGTATACAAAGTAGATCCTGCTCGGTCATCATCAATTTCTCGCGATCAGGTCAATGTGGTCTATTATCGTTATATTGTTGTACCACGTTATCGGTAGGTACCTATACTGGATACATATAGAATCAAACCATGACACTTTTTTTTTTTACAGACACAGTTCTTCGAGGTCCGAACGGCTGCCGCACTTGATCAACGTGATCTTGCCCGATTTGCACACGAACATTTCCAACTCGTCCCTTCTAGGCGGCGGACTGTCCACGCAAGCTCCATTAGCCGTCGTCCTGTTCGTGCACCTCGTCGAATATCCTCTTTTCCACTCAGACAACGTGGTGGACCGCACAGAGGGTGACCTCCCGCTATTCGCGTTTGATTTGCCGCGAAAACGGCCCCGCCGGAAGTGCCTCAATTTGATGCGGAACTCGCGTTTGAATTTCTCCTGAAACGTCAACATTACGTGACACTCTGTGTACCTACCTATAGACTTTGGCCGGCCGAACAGACGGTTTAATAATAATAATAATAGTATATAGCTCCTCCTATCGACAACTCCACAACAATATTATAATATTATAAAGTAGGTAGAACTGTACTCCTTAACGATATATTATCGAGGTGATAAAAAAACACACGTATTATATTATAATCATTCGACTACTTATCATTTGACACCTGTTGGAGTGTGTACATACGAATTGATATTTGTGTAAATACACATATACAATATTCATACATGATAATATTTTTGATTACATTCGGAATTATGTATTTATTGTGAAGTCGAAATGCGGTTCACTAATCGATGTCCGCTGTATATTTATATATTATTCTAGCTGGTAGCAGAATGTCTGATGACGAAATTTTGCCAGGACATATCCCGGTGCACCCTATAATTAATTGGTATCGAACTTAGATATGCAACCCTGGATTATAATTTCTAGTGCCAAAATGTCTGTTATAACTTATAAATATTAATGTTTCGTCGATAAAGAAAAATAATTTTAATCAAAAATTAAATTTCAGAAAGTGAAATAAATATGTTGTGAAATCGCTAAAAATAAATAAACAGCACGTGTTTTAAACTTATAACTCAAAATTAAGCACCTAGAATTATGAAGAGTTTTACTTAAATGTTAAGACATCTACAATATTAGTCTTCAAGAGAAATAAATATATTAAATTACTATATAGGTACCTTATAATTGTCAATTAAAAAAAACATCCATTAAAATGTAAAATTTTAAATTTAAGTAGATCCCGTTTATTTTTTAATTTTGTAACTCCTAAAATATTATAATAAAACCAACTTAAAAAATTAAACTTTGTATGAGTAAAGTCCAGGTATCTAACCTAGATAAAGTTAAATAGTTTTTTAATTATTTTTAAATAATGTTATAAACTTAAAAATTAAAATGCTTTTAAATATTAACAACATTTTCACTCATAAATGTAAAACAATTTATCATAGAATAATATAATTACTTTTGCTTACTTTATATAATTTACCTATAGTAATATGTATATATATATATATTATATATATTATATTTATGTACCCATAAATATTTTATCGTATTTATAAGTACTATACTAAGATTGAAAGATTGTTAAATTTTTTTTTTTTTTTTAAAAGATACGGTATTAAAATATTAGAACATTAAAAATCAAAGGATATCGTATCAACACTTGAAGACTTCTTTCCATCGTGTATTTTCATATCCATATAATATGTATTAAGAGCATATTCTAATAGTTATAAGGAAAATTCTACACAAATTGTATAAATAAAGGTTAAATAAATGAATTATTTTATAGTATTGATTCATATAAATTACAATGAACGACGGAAAGGGTTCTATCAAATATTTTTGTAAAGTAACGAGTCTACTAAAAATTAATAATATATTATATTACGTTATAAAATGTAATATTGATATTTAGTTTATGAACCAACTAAATTTTAAGATTATTTTTTGTTAAGTTATTCAAATTAATAATATAAATTTCAAGGGTGGATACATAAACGATTAAATAAGAGTTTATTCTTTTAAAAATAATTTAATTAAAGATTAAATACATTTGAGAAAAACGATAAAAATATGAAATATTGTCATAATTTAAATAGTTTATCCTCTCGATTAGATAAATCCATATTTATGGAGCTAAACCAATATTACATCGTAATATTTCATGTCCTAATACGTTTATAATAATATTTTTCATTATTTTCACTGAAATATGTTTTAACTATCCAATAATAATTAATGGTAGGTACTTACGTTGTATATTCCATAGATAAATGGGTTGTAACAGCTGTTGCTCATTGCCAACCAGTCACAACAGAAGAACACGATGTTTATGTAACGGAACCTAAAATAATGTTAATTTCAAAATTACATGCATATCCAGATATTAAGTATCGGTAGAATAATATTGATTTACTGATTTATTGATGGGAATATATCTTGAAGTACGTTATACGTTTGTAATGGTAACCAACATAAAACGAACAATCCAACAACAATAACTAACATCTTTATGACCTGAAAAAAAAACACCAAGTAGATAAGTACCCACAATTAATTTTGAACTTTTATAGAGTTAGCTTATTATTTTATATAACATAACATTGTGTTAAAATAAAAACAATTACATCTATAAATATATTATTTGGTTATTATAATTTTTATTCACTTCGAATTATTAACACTAAGATAATAAATTATCGAGGAAAAACAATTTCCTAATTTCATAGCTTGTATATTTACATATTTTAATTCCATCATTCTCTTTTATTTTAGGTAGCAGCTACCTAATATTAACTTGTCAAACAGAATAGTAGCGTTAATTATAGTGTAGTTGTTAACTTATATACTCGTGATAATATTATCTTAATGCATAAGCCATCTATTAACTACATTATACATTCACAAATATTACTTATGAAACCTACATTATTTTTTCCCACAAAATAATGTAAAATAATTAAAATGTATAGAACAGCTTTTACCTTTATGAACAATTTACTGCTACAAATGAGATTAGTTGTTGCATAAAGTTGTCGAAAATGAAAATATAAACATTCAGTGAAAATGTCATGTATCTATCTATAGTTATTCGTTTTTAATTACAAAATAATAACAACTACATGAGAAATAGAGTGAATATCCAATCTTGTAAAAATATGAACTTCAAACGATCATTAAAATTTAATATGATTTGCTTGTAGACATATTTATCTTAGATTTAAATAAAACATTTTTATGAATTTCTTACTCAAAATAATTTGCACATTTTCGTGAATTTTATGTATTTTGTCAATATTTGAAATTTAAATGCTTAAAAAAAAAATTGTGACTATGGATTTTTAATATTTTTCATCTGTCTTTGAAAAAATATATTAAGAGCCTTCTATTAAATTATCAAGATTTTTCACCCAACAAATAAAATTTTATTGATATTTATAGAATAACTGACTAATAAAATAGGAAACTGAAAATGTCCGTAAACAGTTTACAACAAATCAAAATATTTTGAAAATTGTATCGTTTATAGAAAATGCAAATATAAACCAGTGAAAATTTCATGTACATAACACATTAACTACATTACATACGGTAATTTTTAGATATACACCAAAAACCTAAATCGATTTTTTCGAAAACAGTATTTGGGTAATAATGCCCGTTTTTCCTTAATTTTGATATTGTTTTTCCCGGTGCTTTTGAAAACTATTGTGAATTTTAAATTTTGACATAACAAATGTACCGATTAACCAATTAGATTAACTTTCCCATCGAACAAGATACTGTTGAAAAAAATCGAAGCAGTTAGTTTGCCCCAAACGGTGTTGAAAGACACAAAAAAAAACACATCATTGTAAAATCAATACATTCATCTCTCCACTCAGAACCTAAAATAAGTAGTTCAAATAACATAAACATAATCATAGTATAGGTAACTACTTGTATAAAAGAAAATACTATCGTTTAATATTTATACTACAATTGATTAGTATTGGTATTTATTAAGAGGGTGCACTACTGCACTATAGTGAACAAAATATGGCATAAAAACATGGTTTCGACATTCAAGTAATACTGGTTATTGAAGCGGTTTACAGTAAACGCACCTATAATACAGATTGTAGAAGATAATTTTTTTAAACAATCGTAAACAGCCGATTTTCTATATTTTGTATAACTAGTATAGTAATTAATCGATAAAAAGTAAAAAAACTTGTGAATTTACCATGCGATATTGGACAATTGGAATACGATATCAAAAATCGATTATTACAACTTAAGAAGATCGATAATTGTGTGTTTAAAATATTTTATATTTTAGATTCTGAGCGGAGCGATGTATGTATTAATTTTAGATTCTGAGTGAAACGATGAATGTATTGATTTTACAATGATGTGTGTTTTTTTTTTTATTTTTTTTTTATTTATTTTTTATTTTTTATTTTATTTTTTATTTTTGTGTCTGTCATCACGTTTTAGGACAGTAAAAGTGCTTGGATTTTCTTCATCAGTAGCTTTTCTGATAGGAAAGTGAATCTAGTTGGTACTTTGGGGGGTCAAAAGTATAAATTTCCCAGTAGTTTTCACAAGCGCCGGGAAAAACAACATAAAAATTAAGGAAAAACGGGAATTTTTACGCAAAATTGGTTTTCCAAAAAATCGATTTTGGTTTTTGGTGTAACTCTAAAACAAATGAACGTATATACATGAAATTTTCACTGGTTGTTTATATTTGCATTTTCTATACACGATAACATTTTCAAAATATTTTGATTTATTTTGAACTGTTTAGGGACATTTTCATTTTTCATTTTTTTTTAGTTTTTTTTCTAGAAATATCAATAAAATTTTATTTGTTGGTTGCGAAAGCTTGAAAATTTAATAGAAGGCTCCTAATATGTTGTTTCAAAGGCAGATGAAAAATATTAAAAATCCTTAGTCACAATTTTTTTTTATAAGCACTTAAAGTTCAAAAATTGACAAAATATGGAAAAATCACGAAAATTAGCAAATTATTTTGAGTTAAGAATTCGTAAAAATTTTTCTTTTTAAATCTAAGATTTGAAAATTTAACACAAGATTCCTTATAAGATTATCTACCTTTATCAAAAAAAAAAATGTCTATAAGAAAGTCAAATTAAATTTTTATGAGCGTTTGAAATTCAAATTTTTACAACATTGAATATTCACTCGATTTCCCATGTAGCGATTTCCTTAGTTTGTTGTAATTCAAAAACAAATAACTGTAGATACATGACAATTTCACTGAATGTTTAAATTAGCATTTTCTATACACCATACAATTTTGAAAATATTTTGACTCTTTTTGAGCTGTTTATGGACATTTACAGCTTTCAATTTTTTTTAGTTTTTTTTTTCTATAAATATCAATAAAGTTTTATCTGTTGGGCCAAAAAGTGTAAAAATTTAATACAAGGCTCCTGATATACTGTTACAATAGCAGTTGAAAAATATTAAAAATACATAGGCACAGTTTTTTTTTATAAGCATTTAAAGATCAAATTTTGACAAAATTTATCAAAATCTCGAAAATTATCAATCATTGAAATTAATAAATTATAAAATGTTCAGTTTTTATAGCTAAGGATTGCAAATTTAAAACAAAGGTTCTCATAAATAGTTCATACTGTAACCAAAAAATCTAAAAAATATATGAACACAGTTATTTTTTACAGACATTTTAAATTCAAATTTGGACGAAATTACATATTAAAAAACCTAGAATAACTATTTTAGTTATTTTGTTGTGATTGAATAATATTATTCGTGGGTACTTGAAACTTCTAAAGTGTACTATTATATATCTATGATAGTATCACGGTTTTGTTGATGTATAACGCGTTATAAGTACCTAATGGACATTGTGATATGATTAATTTGGAATTTATTATAGGTACCTATTATAGGTCAATTTTTTGTTTAATACCATAGATATGTATATAATATGTCTTAAACATAGACTGACATACCGTCTCCGCTCAGAATCGTTTTTCTTATACAATGATATTATATCGTTGAATTCAAATTTAATATCATCCATTATACAGTGACCCACTTGTAACCTACTGTACAGCAGAGCGACACCCACTTGCCCACCTTTTTCAAAGATGTGGATCGTAAAAATGTTTCAATTTTGTACTCCAGCATATTTTCTGGTAAGAAAAAAAATCTAGTTGGTAATTTGGAGGGTAAAAAGTAAACAACTCCTAAAAGTTTTCAAAAGCGTTTGAGAAAACACAATAAAAATTAAGAAAAACCTGAGATATTTACGCAAAGCCAAATTTCGACAAATTGTAGTTTTTGGTATAACTCCAAAAAAAATAACAATAGTCACATGACATTTTCATTTAATGTTTATATTAGCATGTATAGAACACCGTTCAATTTTCAAATATATATTTATTCTTTTTAAACAGTTTATTTAAGTATCAAAAAATTTCGATTTAAAATTTTTTTTTGAAGGTTCCTCATAAGCAGTTAGTGGAAATTTATTAAAAAACAACTTGAGCGTAAATCTACAATATTATACTTTTATGAGTGCTTGAAGTAAAAATTTCGATACAACTCGTAAAAATCACGTACATTTGTAAATTTTATTTGAGTTAGAAATTCATAAAAAATTTTCTATTTATATCTATGATTTTAAAATCGATACAAGATTCCCATAACATTTTCTACCATTAACAAAAAAAAAAATGTTTACCTCAAAGTCAAATTATTTTTATTGTTCGTTATTATGCATGAAGTTAAATTTCGTCATTGGATTTTCAACCGTGAATGAACACATTGTCATCTAATGATTTTCATATTTTGTTATATATAACAATATAATTAAAACACAGATGACCTTAGATACTTTAAATTTTGACTCGTTTTGAGCTATTTATAGACATAATACAATTTTTTTCAGTTTATTTTCTATGAATATGTCAATACATATATTTCTATTCATATTTAAGATTTTAAAATTTAAAATAAAATTCGTCATACGTAAACGTAATAGTAGTTAAAATATAAAAAAATTAATTGGATATGATAGACAGAATAAAATTATTACATTTTCTCTTATAAACTAAAAGAGGGAAAGTAGGTATCAGCTTTACTGTACAGTATAGGTGTCGAGTAAGCCTCGTTATTGAGTAAATCACTCGTCACTGTATATTATGACGTGTTCAATTATTGAAATCAATGTTAAAATACATCAATCCTTACGAGCAACGATTCTGAGAGAAGGCAGAAGATGATTCTGTGGCCTGTCCACCAATATTCATTATTATTACAAGTATATTTTATGATAGATAGTAATTTATTTCATTATTAGTAATACTATATTATAATACTAAAGCATTTATTGTATTATTATATAATAATATTTATTTTAATATTTATATCATATATTGTTATCTTATTATCATGAAACGGTGTCAATAGGTTTGTGGCATATAAATATTTTTATAATGTCATTATGGCATCATGTGTAGTAAATA